TAATATTTTTAAGAGTACTAATAACACTATAACTATTAAAAATAATGTATACCAAAATCAAGAAAAAGGGCAAACAGGTGAGATAGGTAGTGTGTATGTTAGTTGTACAATGTTTTATATGTATGTGTTATTCAGTTTTCTGTTGCACACCCTGCACCGCCAATCATGGCCGTGCAGGGTGGGAAAAGTGTCCTGCCCAGAGCTGGCACTTTTCCAGGCATGGCTCATGGATGGTATGTTCCACCCTCTTTTACTTATGAAAATTATTCAGGAGCCACTTCCTAGATGACTGAGTCTAATCTTCCTTCTGGAGCTTTGTGCATTTAAGACGAGTCATGTATGTCACTCAGTACTTGACCAAATTTTTTCAAGAGGGTACATTCCCATCACTCTGGATCCAACCCAAATTTTTTTCATGATGGCATATTCCTGTCACCTGTTTTTGGGTGAAGGTCACATCACGCTGAACTAATGAGTTGATGAACTAAACTCAACAATGGGCATGACGTTTATGTACAGGCCATTCCCATCAGCAATGAGTTAAAGAAAGATACTAAATTTATTTCTGAGACTTGATTAATTCAGAAAAATCCTCTGAAATGAGAAGGGGAATGGAAAAAAGAGAGAGATTAAGGTGAGATGATATAGAAGGAGCATGCACACTAAAATGAAGTGATGCACATTGTATGTCACTTAAAAGTAAATCTCTACTGAAAGCTACAAACTGTAAATCCTTGTATTGTCTCTCAGTTACAAATGTACCCCCATTCTCTGCATAGATTTTCTTCTGGCAATTACAACACCAATTAGAGCAGTTATATTGGCATCATAACCCAATAACCTCTTGCAAACTGATCAGGGAAGTGCACTTCATCACTTGTCGCATTGATCAGAAATTACAGTGTCACTTGGCATGAAAGCCCCCAAATATACAAGGCAAAGAAAAGAGGAGCAAATTGGAAGCAGAGTTATTCAGAAGGACATTCCTGGCCAGGGAAGAAGTACAAGATAGAAAATTAGATTTGTAGATGTGGAAAAGGAATACATAAGGCATGAAGATTTGCCAGACAGGGCAACCTGGAGAAGAAAAGATTCTTATGGCAGTCACTGCTCCTGGGGAAAAAAACAGAAGAAGCAGATTTTTTTTTTACGTAGATTTTATTTTTAGAGTAAGAGAGAAAATCAAACATTCTGTTCAGGAATAACTTGAGAGGAAACACAGTTATATTTTCTTTCCCTAAAGTGACTCTAATTTGCCTGGTGATCTGTCATTCACATTGCTTTGCAAAGTAGGAAATGAGATTCAGAATGAAATGACATTCCAAACAATGGATTTCATCTTCTAGGAACCCTTTTACTATGATGAAACCAGTTTCCTAGAAGATGAGGATGAGGAGCCTGACGACGACGACGATGACACCTACTCCACAAGATCAACACCAACCAGGAAACGGAAGAAAGCTCCCAAACTTCCTAAACCACCCAAGGTAAGATCAGAACATGATTTTATCTGTGAGAAAGATATTGGTTACTATAAAACCTGTCAGCTAGTGATTATAGTTTTTGTCATGAACTTCTGTGAGGTAGTAATAAAGTTAGTTCTTTCATTGGAGTCAATAAGGAATGCTATACTGTGCCACTGTGGATAGCATGTATGTATATACCATTACCCACTGTGAGTTTAGTTTGTTAACTGTATTTACACGTAGATGGCTCCACAAAAGTTTAGTCACCAAGTAGCCTATCTCACCTGTTTACCCTTTTCCTTGATTTCAGAAATATTTTATTTTATTTTATATTGGTAATTGTATTGTTAATAACACTGTAATAATTATAATATCAATAATAATGATAACAGCATTGATATCAATTGGATTAGAAAAAAAATCCTGAAAACTCAAGGAAGGGGAAAGTCAATTGAGGTTATGTAGACTAATATTTGACTCCTTGGTGGCTGAGCACATGTGGACCCATCTGCGTGTAAATACATTTGAAATGAGCATCACTTTTTCCTGGCAGCTTTGGGTTAAAGGAGTTTGTTTTGTAATAAGAATTACAATATGTAACATTATGTAATAATAATCTGGTCATCAGGGTTTATAGATAACAATGACAGATTCTGTACATGTGTTTGGTTGTGTGTGTGTGTGAAGAGAGATTGAGAGACAGAGACAAACAATTATGTTGATGTATGATTTCATGGGCAGGCATTTTTTAATGAATGGAATAGAAACAAAAGCAAAGTAAAATCAAAATATATCTCATGTTCAGCTAGACCAAATTTTAATCATAATTATATCATATACTTAAGCACATTTACTCTCATCCATCCCACAGCCCCCTAGCAGTAGAGGCCGCAAGAAGAAAGAAGTACAGCCAAAAGCCCCGACGGAAGGCGACGAAGAGACCCCAGGCAAGCCGTACGAGTGCCAACGTAAGTATGGTGGACATTCTTTTAGGGTTACGTGGGATAGGAAACTTTTCTGGTGATTCAGGAGTATTTCATTTGTCATTGTGCGAGAGCATGAGATTTTTATTCCCAGTGATGATTTGGGAAGTTCATCTGACTTCATGGATTTCATGCGTACGTTTACATTCTCTCTCACACACACACACACACATACATACATACATACATACATACATACATACATACATACATACATACATAGATGCATACATGCATAAATACACCCCCACCCCACCCCCACCCCACACATACACATACACATACACATACACATACACATACACATACACATACACTTACATATACACTTACATATACGCTTACATATACATACATACATATACATACATACATACACCCTCCACACGCACACTGAGTTGGTAAAGTCATATTATTTTCTGACTTGCAATTTTGCTAATAAAAAAAGTAAAGTAAATAAGTAAGTCATTAATTAATTCATGGCATGCCTAGCACAGTGATATTTATTGAAGTCAGATTTATTTCCCAGTCTTCCTAGGCAATATTTTGTGGATATCCCATATCATGAGGTTTATTATATGAATGAAAAATGTCAACAGCCGTAGTGTTGCTGTTGTTATTGTTTTTTATTGACTTATTTTTAATCATTGTTATTACAACCTGCAGATATATTTCCTATTTATCATTTCCTTTGCTTTCACTCATGGATTTATGGATTTCATAACCATTCTAGCCCACAACAGGAAAGTAAATTCTACACTCTGACATTGATAGTAGGGATGTTATGATAATTATATGAACATATATATGTACTTTTTTTCTGGAGACTTTTTTTTTTGTGTGTGTGACACATTGTACTTGGTATTTTGATGTAGATGTGGACTGTAATCCAGCTTCCTCCCCTCAAAAATAATGTATTAAATATTGTAGTTTAAAGGAAAAATATTGGTTGAGAGCCCAGTGTCGAAAATTCAGCAGTTCGTATCCGTATGTCTTATTTGAAATGACGAAGGTTGAGCGAAATGAAATGCTCACATAGTCTATAATATTTCCCAAGGCAAATTCATATTCAGTGAATTAAGGGGTCCTCTTGTCACTGATTACATTCTAGTCTCTTTGGTAATTTTTGTTATTCCATAATGTACTTTTAGAGGGGGGGTATGAACACACCTACTTTGCGTACCTATTTGCTTTATGTAGCGTATAAAAGGACACATACTATATGTACTTTTTTTCTGGAGACTTTTTTTTTTGTGTGTGTGACACATTGTACTTGGTATTTTGATGCAGATGTGGACTGTAATCCAGCTTCCTCCCCTCAAAAATAATGTATTAAATATTGTAGTTTAAAGGAAAAATATTGGTTGAGAGCCCAGTGTCGAAAATTCAGCAGTTCACCGTTTGTTTCATGATCCGAACACACCTTACCAGGAAGCCCCTGTCCAGCTGGATTGTTAATATGATACCTTTTGTTTGTGTTACAGATAATATCAAAAGAAAATATCAAAGAGGGCTTTTCATATAAGAAAGAAACTTGAACAAAATGAAAAGTGGTCATTTGGAAGGCTGTTTTATGCTTTATCTTCTTATTTGCTCATCCATTGATTCCATTTTATGTCTTATTTGAAATGACGAAGGTTGAGCGAAATGAAATGCTCACATAGTCTATAATATTTCCCATGGTAAATTCAGATTTAGTGAATTAAGGGGTCCTCTTGTCACTGATTACATTCTAGTCTCTTTGGTAATTTTTGTTATTCCATAATGTACTTTTAGAGGGGGGGGTATGAACACACCTACTTTGCGTACCTATTTGCTTTATGTAGCGTATAAAAGGACACACACTATATGTGAATATTGAGGGCTTAGGGACAAACTCATGGAAATATGAGCTTACTGGAAGTAGTCTATGCACAGTTACCTTATGTAAAATAGTTTTAGCCTGCCACTCAGGATTAATCTAAGTCACCACTTACATGAGAAAAATTATTTCCTCACCACACCCATTAAGTTTGTCAAAAAGAGACTTGCCCATTTCTTTTGGACAAATACATATAAGGATTATCATATTAATAAAAAAAAAAAATACGGGTTAGATAAAATGAAACATTCTTGCGTGCCTTTAACATTAGTTACATCTGTTACCTATAGATGATAATATTACTTCTGTTTTCATAGAAAAGGAAATGGCTCCTGTATGCTAAGTATGTTGATTTTAACCCTATGCCTCTGGGTGAATTTGGGGTTTGCTTGGCCTCTGCTCCAAGGGAGTATGCATGTCCAGCTGGGCTTTTCCCAGGGACATTTTCACATGCAGCCGGTGTGTAGCACTCACATACTACACCAACAGTGATATGATTTTTTGTAACACTTGTATGCAAAACAGGATTTTTGTGTTTTTGCATATTCAAATATATATGATGTTAGTTTTAGTTGCTAGATTGAACCTGTAGTTTCCTTTACAGTAGAGTCAATTTTAATAAATAAGCTATGGCACACTCTGTGTACTAGATGTGTACTTACTCAGCAGCAAGAGAACATAATGTTTTGCTGCATGACATCTTCCATACTTAGGAAGTGAATAGTTTATGTTCTAGATATCGCCCTTTATACAAAACAAGCCATAGCATTACACATCCCGTTCTCCCTCAGGCAATACCTCAGTGCTTGTGGTGTGGGCATGTGGGTTCATTATAAAGAATAGCATAAAATGCAATGCATTTGTCAAAATAACATGGCATGGATGACCTGTCGCCAAGTGCCACACCCTAGTCGGCCATGGTGTGAATGACCCGTCACTCGGAGCCTTGACCAAATCAGCCATGATGTGAACCACATGTCATCCAGAGGCCAAGGGTTAAGCAAATTAGCTGAAATGCCGAGGTAATTTTAGACACTGAGTTATCATTTTGTCCGTATAATGTATGTTTACGGATTGACCGGAGGCTCAATTTCATAATTAGTTATCTTGTCAAGATTGACGTAGTTTATGACCTTTGGGGCTAACGGATGGTTTGATAAGCACCAGAAATTTTGATATCGTCTAAAATGCTTTATCTGTTATTGAATATAGCTTTGAGGATGGACCATAGGTTTCTAGTATGGAAGGTAAGAAAAGCACAGGTGTGTGGGTAATTACACAGCAGTAAAACTGAAGTATATAATGAGTTATGATATGTGTTGGTTTAGGTTCAGACTTATAATTTCTTCTATGATATGAATGTGACTATATGAAAACATGGGATAAGCTCTGAGCATTATATGTATATATCATTAGATAACTCCTATGGCAGCAGCAGTAATAAATGCCATTAGATATAATTATTTCTAGTGTTCTAAAGATTACCAGGATAACTGGTTTTATTTTAATAATCTTTTTATACATTGATGGCTTCGTAAACACTTTGTTACCAAGGACTCAGCAACTAGCCTTCCTAATTTCACAGGCTTACCTTAGATATTGAGAAAAAATATAATTATTATTGTTATTAAGAGCATCATTTTAATTCTTATCATTGTCATTATTGAAAAGATATTAACAATGGTAAATGTCTTTAATCTTTCCAAGTATGTAAGGAATGGGTCAAATTGATAAGCTCAGGTACCAGTGATTGACTCTTTGTAACTCTGTTTTAAAGCCACATATGTGTAAACAAAATTGATAAAACAGATATATGTGTAAAAATGCTTCCAAAATCGATGCATTTAAAAAAGATTGAAGATTAATATATTATCTTCGATATGGTAATCAAACCACTTTTTGCATTTATACCAAGACTTGACTTATCAGTATCTTTTAAAATTATTTTTTAAGTATAGTACAAACCAAGCATATAGTTTAGATTACTTTAATGATTAATCTATATTATCTGTTATATATTGATGATGTTTTGGAATAGTATTTTCAGTACACATATGGCGCACACACAAACAAGTAAATTTGCAATTGATATATGCTAAATTAATCATCCTTATCCCAATTATTTTGTGTGTCTTGTTATCTCAGTGGCTATGGAAGAATCAGTTCAGTTTCATATATTAGTGGACACATTTTTCTGAAAGGTTTCATGTTAAAAGTATACAACTGAATTATGCTTGGCACTTCAGGCAGAGTAATACCAAGTGTGTGGTATTCAGTTCCCTTATTTATATTAATTTTGTTATATATATATATATATTTTTTTTCCTTTCTTTTTTTTTTGTCATCATCATATAAGTCAAAATGGGAAAACTAACATTCATTGTGTGGTTTGTGTATGATGATCTTCTTCCCTATATTTTTTGGAATGTAAGATAGTATACATGTGTTCAGTATTAGTTGTTTGAAGTTTTATTGTTTAAGTCCTTATGAATATTTGAGTGTTGGCTGATAAGACCTTAGGTGGTAGTGCTTGGAATTCAATATTGGTTTGACCTTATCTTGGCAGTGGATTTGCATAGTGTTATTATTGTTATTTCATTGTTATTAGCTTTAGTTTGTAGTGTTTGTTTTGAGTACTACATATATACCTTTCTATTATTATGATGATGATGAGTATGATTATTGTTATTATTATTGCTATCATTATTATTATTATTATTATTATAATTATTATTATTATCATTATCATTATTGTTATTACTGTCATCATTATTATTATCATTATTTTTTAAAAATTGAGATTACCATTAAGAAATATTTTCATACTTTCATGATTATTTTCTTTTTTCTTTTTCCATTCATTTGTAACATTTGTTTAAGAAAAACAAAAAGTCTGGTAACCCAACAGCATCAAACAATACTTAAGCAGCATATAAGAATATTTAATTAGTGTCCTTATTCATAATAGCAGTCCGCTCTTATTTTCATTCAACTGACATGATTTTAACTGTGAAATATTTTAGATTATGTTGATAAGAATGTAATATTGAGATGAGATATATATTGCTAAAAACAACTTGCCTAATATTTATAAGTATGACATATACATAAAGCTCAAAATTACAAGGATAAATATGGAGTAGCGATGAGCAGTGTTCATTCCGAAAAATGTAGAAAATATACGAGTAAGAATGGAAATCTTGACTGTGCAAGAGATGTATTTGATAAGCTTTGATTATAACTTCATCAGAAACACATTTGTGAGATTAAAGTGGATATATATGACATGAGATGATGAACCACCTGATGACAGTGACCTGTTACTCATTACCCGCATGATTGTTGCTGTGACCTTAGATGATTCAAAACAGGTCAGATGCAGCTCTTGCACTGTGAAAATATCCATATATGCGACTGATCTATATAATACTGACTTAAAATACATATCCATATATCAATGTATGTAAGTTCTGTAGAGCAGTATGGTTGAATTTTGGTTAATTTTTTTTTTTTTTTTTCAAAATCTATAATATACTTTTATGAAAGTATGCTGTTCAAATGGTGGATTTTCCTCACTTTTAGGCACAAGTAGTCCTAGTAAAATAACCTATCTTAGTTATGAAATTATGAAATAGTTCAGTTTCCCAGACCACAGTGTATCAAACTGCTTGGATATTTTCCATGTGACAGTATAAGTTTAATGAGGGAAAATTTGATTGTTTTGAGAGCAGTAATGAAAAGATATTTGGAGCTTTTTTAATGCAGTTTAAATGGAAACTAATTCCCTGAAGTTCATGTTTGTGTAATATTGTAAGTCTTAAGTAGAAATATCCTATTTTGAATATTCATAAATTTGTTTGTTTGCTTTTGTATTACGTTATGTTACCAACCTAAGTGACACCTTATTATTAGTATATTCAGAGGTAAGCAGACTTTTATGGTAGCTATTTAACTTAGGATCCCACTTCCCATAAAGGAAAGTTGGTTTTGTTGAACAATATTATGTTTATCTTTATATGATGCTTTGACTCCATATAATCATTCAAGAACATGACAAAAGTTTTCTTTTTTATTTTGTTTATTTCTTTATATTATACATATATATATTTTTTTTTATTCAATTATTATATCGTTCATTTTATCAAAATTGAAGGTGTAAAGACTCTTACATCAACTATTAATGGTGACTTAGAACTAAATTGTGCTATTATATTTTAATGCACTCATGTTTAGTGCACAAAATTGTAACTTCTATACAAGGAAATGTGTTTTTGTCCTAAAATTTAATAAAGGTAATTCAGGTACCATGCTTATTTTCTTTTATTTTATTTTTACTGCTAAATTACCTTTTGATTTTCATGGCATTTTTAATTACACTTATGATTTTGGTTATCACTTCAATTCTACAATCAAGGTGTCTGACAACTGGAATACCAGAATAGAGAAATGGTGGTAATGATATTCATCGGGGGATTACTGAGGAAGTGTTTTTGAGACCCTTAACCCCTCTCATCCTTTACAGTATGGTTGATTAATGATTTGATTACCATGATTTGAAAGTCATAAGACACATGGAACGGAGAAGCGCACACCTCTTTCCACTGTTCAGTATTATCTGTTGTCTTCTTTATACTACCTCTTAATTATATGCCACAATTTCTGTGTGTATGTTGTCCTAAATGGGTATTTGATGTCGTCAGAGATTTCATCTAACCTTGATTAATTCTTTGTGCTGCATAATGTTGTTTTATTATTTGTTTCCACAAACAGGTATCTTGGGCAAAGTATGTTGATATTAGAACTAGAAAATTCTTGCCAAAAGTAATGGAGACCCATTATTGTTTTTACAAATCTGATTTTTAATACATAAAGCTAATTTCTTTTCAGGATTAAGAGTAAAAATGGTAAAAAAAAAATCTTCCTGATTATGACTATTTTAAGCTAACATTTTGGAAATTCAATTAACATAATTTTAATTTCCTTGAGCTCTAAAAACACAGTATGTTACAGGATAAAATGCATAAAGATTTTTTTCTTTGGGACAGTTTTACTCAGATATAAATCACCAGCTCTATTCTTGAATATTTTAAAACTTGTTATTTTGTTATAGGAAATTTCATCGAACTTTTATTATTTTTTGTTGCACTTAGATTACCTGACATGACACTGGTAAACATACTATATACTTTATCCCAAATTAGAAACCACAAATAAATAAGACTTAAGCGACTTCAATATATCGCCAGATAGGATACTTCCGTAGTAGCCAGTCACACCAGTTACATTAAGGTGCGGGGTCTTAAAAATCATTCCCTTAGTAAACCCACTTTAGCTGAATGTAAAAATGAATGCTTGCAGTACATATTCTACTTACCTGGATACTACAGTTAATTGAGATCATATGACTATTTCTACAAACACTTAGATGTATGATTCATTTTACCAATATACACTTATTTTTCAAAGATCAGAACATGTGAAAGCTACAAATTTTACACTCCTACTGTGGCTTTTTAGGAGGAAAGAAAAAAAAAAGAGTATATTGATTCCATATTATGGCCTATATAGCTTTTGTACCTCGGCCAATGCTCATCTTTGCTTCTGCTGCAAGTGGCATACTTTCACAACGAGAGTAAAATTATTCTCAACATACTTTCATGTCATTCACTTTTTTTTGTTTGTTTGTTTAAGAGGAACCATTATATCATAAAATACTTCATAAGTTTAGAAATAGCCTTTTTTACATTTTGGTTCAGTGCTTATTTTATGGCTGTGAAGATTATTGGTTCTTAGTCATAATACAAATGTGTAAGAAAAATTATATAAGGGTTGTTTTCCCTGGAATGATTAGTACAAAACATAGATTCAAAGTATATATAATTTTTTATGTCATATTGCATGGAAGGGACTTTGTCATTAAGTTGCAGCCTTTGAAGTAATAGTCTCTGTCAGCCATTTCTTTTATTGCATGCTATATGCCATGATCTAAATTTTTGCTCTATTTTTTAATGTATGTGTGTATATGTGTGGGAACATTCTTTAGTTATTTTAGTTTTCATATTATTATTTTTTTCTCTTAATTTTGTTTAATTCCAAGATCACTTACATTTGAAATCATATAGATGTGTAGGTAGTAAGTATGAATATCTGATTTGTATACTTGACCAATTTGTTCCTTGATTAATGATATAGCACTTTATATGACTATGATTATCTTGTTTTAGTATTATGAAAAATACTGATAGAAAAGGGCATTTAAAGATGACTAATTATTTACATGAGTGAAAGAAAAGGAAACCCCCAAAATATATAAGTATATATTTTTTTACTGATATATGATAATTGCATACCAATGGTGTGACTTCAGTATTCATTAAATATATAATATGTATGAAAGTAGTTAGAATGAGTGTTTATTCTCATGCTTTCAATTTGATATTTTCTTTTGAGTAATATTGATCAGGCTGCCATCATCATAACTGTTGTTTTTATTATTGTTATAATTGTAATTATTGTTATCATTATTATTATTATTATTATTATTATTATTATTATTTTGTAATGTTGCTTATGATAATACTGTGTACATGTTATCAAATATGAATAATATTTCTCTACCAAAGGTTGTTAAACTTTTTTCTGATGTTAAAAGACTTGCAATTCATAATGAAAGACACTCTACCACATGCAAGATAGACCATAGGTAAAGTATAAGCAGTGCAGGCAAGCTTATCTGGTAGAGACAGCTGGTACAGTACAAGCTCAGAATAATGTCACTCTGGAGTTCTTTGATGCAGCTTGTGACAGTCATGGCAGTGAATTACAGGCAGAAGAACTCACTCTTCATTCAGTTTGGTTGATTTCCATATATATGCTTGTGCCTATATATATATATATATATATATATATATATATATATATATATATATATATATATATATATATATATATATATATATATATATATATATATATATATATATATATATATATGTATATATATATATATGTATATTTATATATATATATATGTATATATATATATATTATTTTATTTTTATTTTTTATTTTCTAACTTTTGCAAAAACTCATTCCTGAAAATTCTGTGTCATCATTATGATTTCATACTTTGGCTGCAGACCCAGTATATATTTTGCTAAACAGAAATTTCACGTAAAAGTAATTGATGGGTAATAGATTAATGTTTGGTTTCATTTAGATCCAGAAACAGTCTTTCTTTTTTTTTTCCATTTTTTTTTTTTTTTCTTTTTTTTCTTTTTTACTCTTTCTTTTATGGAGTTATTATATAAGGTCATCTTGTGAGGGAAGCGTGGGCTGCAGGGAATGTTGGTTTTGACTTGCAGTGTGTGGCGCTCGCTACAAGACCAGACAGGGTCTGTCCTACCACCTCTCGCACACACATAAGGGGGGTAGGGCTAACTCTGGGGGTGGTCGGTCCAGAGGGGGCGGCACGAACCCCCCCACCCCCAGGTCTGAACCCCCTTCAGCTGGTGGAAGCTACCAGCCCCAGGCCTACCAACCTGATGCTCTGGCTGGTCTGGCAGAGTTTCAGGACAGTTACCTGGGGTACCTGTCAGCCGGCCAGGACGCCTCGCCCACGGGTATGCCCCTCCCCCCTACCACCGGCCCTGTCTGTGCTTGCCTGCGCTTGCTGTTGTTTGCTTGCTTGCTCATTTATGCTTTCGGAGGCAGATTCAGTGTAATAATGTTTTCTTCTTCTTCTTCTCTTCCCCTTACATTACTCTTTTTCCCCTTATGTGACTCAGATTGTGATATATATATATATTTGAAAGGTTTTACCTGTGTGAATTGTGGTTTTACCTGTGTGAATTGTATGGATCTGCCTCTATCCTTTATCAACAGAGGGTGTTTCAAAGGTACCTGTTGTACCCATGTTTATTTTCTTCTCAAAGCTTTGTCATGCAGGGCTTATTAGGTGCTGTTGAGCCTACCTAGTCTGCATTTAGCTCTTCTCACACAGTCAGTAATAGATGGATGTTATTGAAGTGTGAACAAACATATGAGAGACGTTCAGCTGACATTTTTTTTCTTTCTTTTAGGTAAGAAGTTGAAAGCACAAAAACTGAACTGGAAGGTTAAACTTTAAAGTCTCACTAGTCAGATTAAACAGAGAGACATGTTTTGTTTGATAGATTGTAACCAGCATTA